GCCACCCAGGTGCCCCAGAGAGCTCACTCTTAAATGCTACGTTACACTATCTCCCCAAGTGAATCAGGAGCTACTAGCATGTGGGGCACAATGATTAGCACGAGGTGGGCATTCATAATGCCTGAAGAACTGTATTTAAATGTGGCTGCCGTGGGTCAAGCCTACCCTACTTCATGGGACACTTACTCTTCCTCTCATTCTGTGCACCAGCTCATACATCCGGATGCAACCTTCCACTTTGATCCCCCGGGAGGACTGAAGTGCCATAGGTTCTGCATGCTGGGACTCATGTTTGTCCTATACAGACAGAAAATGGAAAAATTAAGCATTTAAGATGGTAAAGTTGATGCTACCCCTTCTACATGAAAACCACATCCCTACCTATGAACAACCACCCAGAAGAACAACAACAGAACAATTTAGGTTAGAACCAGTGTGCTTGTCATGATATTGATCTTGTTCTCATTGTTTTCCGTTGTAAAGGGAATAATAATATAAATTACATTTATATAATAATATACAAACCAATAGATGGGTTATTTCTCTGCACAGTTTTAGTTTGCTTTGTTTTTTGGCTTGCTTGTTTTGATCTGCCCGGCAAATTGTTCCCCATTCTTCTGGTAAGAGTCAATGTGTGCTGGGGTGGTTTGAATGGAGCCATCCCAACCCACATCCCCAATTGTTCCACCCTCCTTCAAGGGGTAATCATGTGACCAGCCTACCGCTCAAAGTACTCCATCCCCCTGTGCCAAGCTAGGCCAGACTCCATCTCTGAACTTTTCTGATGGAGTTATCTGGGAAGGCTTTCTACCTCTGAGGATGCTAATCTAAGAAGATGTGTGTCTACGGTCACTAATGGCCATCTTGCCACATGGAGTCTATAAGAAGGATGGAACCAAGAAGAGTTAAGCAGAATTGAGGGGACAGGCAAAGCCCCGTAGGTGGGTCGTTGGATCAAGTCAAAAATAACGTAAAATAGAGAGAAGCAGAAAGTATATTGCCTGGATCTAACCGATTCTATATGCATTCACAGACTTACTAGTCATGTGAGCTAATTAATTCCTTTTTCTCTTCCGTTTTGCTTAAGCTAGTTTGAACTGGGTTTCTCTCAAACCCCCGAAAATTCCTAAATGACACAATAATTCATTATATAAAGCCATCTAAAAGTTTATTTAAACCTCAAGAATGAGGGGTACCTGGGTGGCTCAGTTGGTTAAACGTCTGACCTAAGCTCAGGTCATGATCTCATGGTTCGTGAGTTCGAGCTCCAGGTCTGGCTCTGCGCTTAAGGCTTGGAGCCTGGAGCCTGCTTCGGATTCTGTGTCTCCCTTGCTCTGCCCCTCCCCCACTCATGCTCTGTCTCTCTCTCTCTCAAAAATAAACAAACATTAAAAAATTAAAAACACAAGGGGCGCCTGGGTGGCGCAGTCGGTTAAGCGTCTGACTTCAGCCAGGTCACGATTTCACGGTCCGTGAGTTTGAGCCCCGCGTCAGGCTCTGGGCTGATGGCTCAGAGCCTGGAGCCTGTTTCCGATTCTGTGTCTCCCTCTCTCTCTGCCCCTCCCCCGTTCATGCTCTGTCTCTCTCTGTCCCAAAAATAAATAAAAAACGTTGAAAAAAAAATTAAAAAAAAAAAAATTAAAAACACAAAACAAACAAACACCTCAAGAATGATGGAATTCTCTCTCTGGAGAGGACATCAGCAATTTGGCCCAGTACCAGGTTTACAGATGGAGACTGAGCCCTGGGGAGGGAAAGATGACTGCCTGTGGACATGTCACAGCACTGGCATGACTGGAACTGAGAAGCACTCATAGAAATTAAAAAAAAAAAGTGTTTTTTAACTCTATAAAAAAATAATTAAAATAATTCTAATTCACAGAAGTTGTGAAAATTGGTACAGAGAGGCTGATGCACTCTTCACTCAGTCCCCCCCCAACAGTAACAGCCATAAATACAGTAAAATATCAAGAACAGTAAACTGATGTTGGTACAAGCCACAGAACTTCTTCAGATTTCGCCAGTTGTACAGGAATTCATTTGTATATGTGTATCGTTCCATGCAAGTTTATCTCATGCATAGAGTGGAGTAAAACTGCCATCATAATCACGATACGGAACCGCCCTGTCACCACAGGCGTCCTATGCCACACCTACCTCCATACCCCTAATGTGTTCTCTAGAACACTCTTATTTCATGAATGTTAAATGGATGGAATCATACAGTGTGTTCCTTTATATTTGTATGCAGATGAACTACTTCTGGAAGGATTACTCCCCATGCCCCAAAAAAGAGAAAGAACGGAACTCCACCAGTAACAATTTAACTGCTTTTAAGGAAGAGAAACAAGCAAAGGCAGGGACAAAACAGAGTAAAAAAGAGTAAAAATGCATTTTTTTTCCACAAATCACAATTTTTTTTTTTTTTTTTTTTTTAAAGAACTAATGATAAGGTACATCTAGACAGCAGGTCTAAACTTTACTGTAAGCCTCCAACAGCCAACCAAAAAGGGAGACCTCATGAGTTAAATGCATGCAATATTCGTGAGAAAAAAACAATCCAATTGCTGAGGAAATTCATTACTATCACTGGTACTAAGAATAGAAGGGAATCTCTCTCCCCCCTCTTCATAAAGGGAACGCTGTGGCGTAGTAAATGGCAAATTTAAAATAGCTACAAGAAGGAGCCACCATTATTTTCCCCAGAGTAAGGTCACTGTCGTATGACAATCTTAAACACTTCAACTTTTTTTAATTTTTATTTTTATTTATTTATTTATTTATTTATTTATTTAACATTTTATTTATTTTGAGACAGGGAGAGACAAAGCATGAACAGGGGAGGGTCAGAGAGAGGGAGACACAGAATCCGAAACAGGCTCCAGGCTCTGAGCTGTCGGCACAGAGCCCGACACGGGGCTCGAACTCATGGACCGTGAGATCATGACCTGAGCCGAAGTCGGCCGCTCAACCAACTGAGCCACCCAGGCGCCCCTACTTTTTTTATTTTTAAGATTTTTATTTATTTTTAAGTTTTTTAATTTTTTAAATTTATTTTGAGAGAGAGTGTGTGCATGTGTGCAGGGGAGGGGCAGAGAGAGGGGGAGAGAAAGAATCTCAAACAGGCTCCATGCTGTCAGTGCAGAACCCAACGTGGGGCTCAACCTCACAACCCTGAGATCATGATCTCGGCTGAAATCAAGAGTTAGACGCTTAACAAACTGAGTCACCCAGGTGCCCCAAGATTTTTATTTTTGAGTAATTTCTGCACCCAATGTGGAGCCCGAACTCATGACTCAGAGAGCAAGAATCGCATGCTCCCCCACATAAGCCAGTCAGGGGCCTCTTAAATACTTCAACTTTTCAGCCACCACTGCCTCCGATCTTAAGCTAATCACAAACCTTACCTCGGCTCCATCTGGTGTTGCTGAGGAAACTGGTGAGAAGGCAGGGGTTCTGACGGGAGATTTGGGAACACAGGAAGGTTGTTCAAGGTCTGAAGTGGATCTGGAGGATTCTGAAGTCTCAGAGGATGGTTGATTCTCTTGCATGTGGGGTAAGACATGGTCTACCACCCATCCGGAGTAGGAAGAGAGCTTGGGAACAGACCTACATTCTTCCAAAACATCCTAGAGAAAAGAAGAGGGTGAGGCCCAACTTGCATGTAACTGATCTAAGCAATCAAAAATAATTTTGTCCTTATAATCCACTACCTGCCTCACTGAAAACTCTAAGGCCTAAATACATACATACATACATACATACAAAGACCCAAACTAACTGTACTAACAATTAGAGATGAAGAGAAAGTAGTTTCTTCATAATGACCAACTCCTATCCCTTTTTTTTTTTAAGTTATTTATTTTTGAGCAAGAGAGAAAGAGACAGAGCACGAGTGGGGAAGGAGCAGAGGGAGAAGGAGACACAGAATCCGAAGCAGGCTCCAGGCTCTGAGCTGTCAGCACACAGCCCAACACGGGGCTCGAACTCATGAACTGTGAGATCATGACCTGAGCCGGAGTCGGCCACTTAACGGACTGAGCCACGCAGGAGCCCCATGACTCCTATCCTTTTAGAATATCAGACTAAATAACTCTAACCACAGAAAAAGGAACGATGCACAAAGATGGTCAATAAAGCATATGTGAAAGCAATTTAAAACATCAGAATGGAAAAGGACACGAGGAATTTTGAAGTAAACTACAGTATACACAATCAGTGGGATACCGGTCATTTAAAAGCATGGATTGTGGGGGGGCTTGGGTGGCACAGTTGGTTAAGCATCTGACTCTTGATCTCGGCTCAGGTCATAATCTCTTGGTTCATGGGTTCGAGCCCCACATCAGGCTCTGTGCAGATGGTGTGGAGCCTGCTTGGGATTCTGGCTCTCCTTCTCTCTGCCCCTCCTCTGCTTGTGTGTGCTCTCTCTCTCTCTCAAATAAATTAAAAAATAATAATAACTTAAAAAAAATTTAAAGTACAGATTCTGAATCCTATTTAACACCATACTTAAGATTCAATTTTTTTCCAGTCATTGAAAAATAATTGACATATATCACTGTGTAAGTTTAAAGTGACAGTATGATCGGTTGATTTACATATATTTCAAATGATTACTATAGCAGGTTCAGCTAACATCCATCTTCTACTATAGATACAATAGAAAGAAAGAAGAAAAAAGGTAAAAAAAACTTTCTCCTTGTGATGAGAACTCTTAGGATTTACTTTTTTTTTTTTAATTTTTTTTAACGTTTATTTATTTTTGAGACAGAGAGAGACAGAGCATGAATGGGGAGGGGCAGAGAGAGAGGGAGACACAGAATCAGAAGCAGGCTCTGAAGGTTGGAGCTATCAGCCCAGAGCCCTATCGCTGGGCTTGAACTCACGACCAGATCGTGACTCCTGAGCTGAAGTCGCACACTTAACCGACTGAGCCACCCAGGCGCCCCTCTTAGGATTTACTCTTAACTTCCTGTATATCACAGCAGTGTGAGCTATAACTACATTGTACATTACATCTCCAGTACTTGTAAGCAAAAGTTTGTGTCTTTTCATGATCCTCCATTTCCCCTTCCCCTGAGATTCAATTTTAAGTGAAAAAAAAAAAAGGGTATAAATAAATATCTACAATTATATAAAAATAAAAACAAATGCTAATACACTATTAGACATTAAGGAAATATTCTAGAGGTTGTGCTTAGGTAATGAGAGACATATTTCTCCTTGTTCTAATTTTCTAGATTCAATTTTATTTATTTATTTGTTGGTTTGTTTGTCACGCCCAATGTGGAACCCAACACAGGGCTTGAACTCATGACCTTGAGATCAAGACCTGAGCTGAGATCGAGTCAGACACTTAATCAACTGAGCCACCCACTTGTCCCTCTAGATTTCATTTTTAAATGAACATGTTATAATTTTTAAATTGAATATAGTATATAAAAATAGGCATAGAAAAGGGGTCACTGATGTAAAAGCCAATGGCTTAAAGCAAATGAGATTTAAAATAGAAACACTATAAAACAAGTTCTAGACATTCTTACCAGTTGTGTGTGGTGTTTTTTTTTTTTAATGATTTATGTTTATTTATTTATTTATTTATTTAGAGAGAGAGCAAGCACGAGTGGGGATGGGGCAGAGAAAGAAGGAGAGAAAATCCTAAGCAGGCTCCATGCTGCCAGTGCAAAGCCTGTCAGGGATCCCAACGCAGAGTTTGGGGCTCAATCTTGAACCATGAGATCACTGAGACCATGACCTGAGCCGAAACCAAGAGTCGGGAGGCCCAACCGACTGAGCCACCCAAGCGTCCCTCAACTCTACCAGTTAATCATTATCTCTGTATATCTGGCATACAGCACGAGGCAGGAGGCACAGAGAGAGAGGGGGACAGAGGATCTAAAGCAGGCTCCGTGCTGACAGGAGTGGGCCCAATGCAGAGCCCGAACTCTCGGACCGTGAGATCATGACCCGACCCGAAGTTGGACAGAGCCAACAGACTGAGCCAGCCAGCTGGCCCCGGCATATAGCACTTTAAACCAGAGCAGCTTATGCCATTTAACTACAGTTAAAATATACAGCCATTCTGGCAAAGTTTACTCCATGTCAGGAAGATATTACCAGGAAACATGGAGACACGGTATGATAGTGACCAAGAGGACTGAGTTTGGAACCTGCCTTTCTTAATCTGAATTCCATCCCTGCATTCCACTCACCTGTACAACTATGGGCAAGTTACTTCTAAAATGGAATCATAAAGGATCCACCTCAAAAGATTTGGGAAGGATTAAATGAATGGCAGCTATAAAGGGCTGAGAACAATACCTGGCACATAATAACTACTCAGAAACTGCAAGTTATTTATTTTACCTAGGTCAGTGGTTTTACAGCAGGATCAATTTTATCCCCCAGGGGATAGCTAGCAATGTCCGGAAACATTTTTTGTTGTCACAACTGGGAGGGTGCTATTGGCATCTAGTGGGCGGAGGCCAGGAATGCTGTTAAGCATCCTACAATGCAAGACATCCTACAACACAGCCCCTCATAACACAGAAGTTATCTGGCCTAGCCCCAAATATCCGTAATGCTGCGGTTGAGAAAGACTGATCTAGATTGTAGGTACACATCCCACGTGCAATAAACAGATATTCAACCCGTGGAGAAGAATCTGGACACAGAAGCAAACAGGTTATATGCACATTTTATAAAGTAATGAAGCTCATTTTCAAGACATAACAGAAATACTGTTGAGCCACACCTTTTTTTTTTCTCATTCCTTACACCAAAATACATTCCAGGGCCAAAGATTCAAATGTAAAAAATAAAACCACACATACCCAAAACACCATAAACAGGGGTGCCTGGCTGGCTCAGTCAGTACAGCATGCGACTCTTGATCTCAAGACTCATGAGTTCAAGCCCCACACTGGGCGTGGAGCCTACTTAAAATACAAATTAAAAGAAAAAAAAAACATAAACAGAAAAAATTCCAACTGACAAACTAGAAAAAATATATGCAATACATGTCACAGATAAAGGGCTACGGTTATCCTTAATACATAAAGAACTTGTAAAATCAGGGGGGAAAAAAAACCCAAAAGAAAAATATAAATAGCGTGGCACCTGGGTGGCTCAGTGGGTTAAGCGTCCAACTTCAGCTCAGGTCATGATCTCGAGGTTTGGGGGCTCAAGCTCCACGTCAGGCTCTGCACTGACAGCTCGGAGCCTGGAGCCTGCTTCGGATTCTGGGTCTTCCTCTCTTTCTGCCCCTCCCCCATTTGTGTGCATGCACACGCGCGCACTCTCTCTCAAAAATAAACATTTAAAAAAAAGTAAAAGAAAAAGAAAAGAAAAAAATACCCATAGCGAAAGACATAAACTGTCAATTCACAAATATATAAAACTGGCTCGAGGGGCACCTGGCTGGCTCAGTTGGTAGAGTGTGCAACTCTTGACAATGGGGTCGTGAGTTCCAGCCCCACACTGGAAGCCTACTTAAAAAATAGAATGCTATATTGGGGCGCCTGGGTGGCTCAGTCGGTTAAGTGTCCGACTTCAGCTCAGGTCATGATCTCGCAGTCCGTGAGTTCAAGCCCTGCGTCGGGCTCTGTGCTGACCGCTCAGAGCCTGGAGCCTGTTTCGGATTCTGTGTCTCCCTCTCTCTCTGACCCTCCCCCATTCATGCTCTGTCTCTCTCTGTCTCAAAAATAAATAAACGTTAAAAACAAATTAAAAGGGGTGCCTGGGTGGCTCAGTCAGTTAAGCGGCTGACTTCGGCTCAGGTCATGATCTCACGGTCCGTGGGTTCGAGCCCCGCGTCGGGCTCTGTGCTGACCGCTCAGAGCCTGGAGCCTGTTTCAGATTCTGTGTCTCCCTCTCTCTGACCCTCCCCCGTTCATGCTCTGTCTCTCTCTGTCTCAAAAATAAATAAGTGTTAAAAAAAAATAAAAAATAAATAAAAAAAACAAATTAAAAAAAAATAGAATGCTATAAAATTGGCTCTTGAATATATGAAAAAAAAAAATGTTCGATCTCAATAAGAAGAGAAAGGCATTGCAAGACCATACCGAGATCTCATTCTTACCTATTAGACAAGCAAAAATTAAAAGTATAATCATACAATTCTGTTGATGAGGCCGCGGGCAAAAAGGCAAGATCATGCATTGCTGACTGGAAGGCAATTTGATGCATCCGTTGTGGGGGGTGGGGAGACATCTATGTTTGGCTTCGACCCAACGACCTCAACTCTCAGAGTTTATCCTGAAGTCGCACTTCCCACAGAATGGAAACACTCACACACCAGCTTACAAGTAATGGGTTACAACTCACAAAACAGTGACCCATGAGTACGCCGCGATACAACCAATTAATTAAACAGGAGAGAAAAGAAAGCTCTTCCTTACAGGAGAATGCCAACTGGCAAACATAGAAGGAGTGGCTGACATTCAGGAAATGCCATTCGAGTACCTCACGAGAGTGACTGATTCAGGCAGAAAAAGCGAATGCCAACGACGGAGGTTTGACAAGGAAACCTCGATGCAATCTTGGATTACCTCCCCACAAGACACTCATCAACCTCAAAAGGAAAATCCATGAATTTTAAGTGCAGCTATCTGGCAGATAACAATGCGAGCAGGTGATCAAGGTCAGCATCGCCAGTGCTGGGAGAGTTTGCAGTATATGCGCGCTTCCCGATATGACTGACACAGCACAGCAACATTTCTCAGGCATTCCTGCCAGAAATGCAAAACGTGAGTCTACACCAGCCAGACCCATGTCTGTACGTATGGTCTGTATTCCCTAAAATTGTCAGAGATATAAAAGATAGGGAAACGCTTTTAGAATGGTTTCCCACGTAAGTCTAAAGAGACAAGACAGCATCCTATCTGTAGCTAATTACCAGCAACTTGGGTACTGTCTATGCCTTAATCCGTCTACACCCCTACATTCCTGTGGTCAAGTACATGGCTTTGAAAATCCTCGAGAGCGACCACGCCCCCACTCAACTTTCCAAGTCCGCCCAACTTCAATCTAAGATTTTGGTCCTTTCAGCAGGTTGGGCCCTATTAATCGTTCACCGCTAACTCTGGACCTCGCAGCACAAGAGACGGGCGGTAAATCAACTGACCCTGAAAGGGTTGCCTTGACGACAGCACAGCTGGGGCTGGGGGTGGCAACGAAGCCTTTAGACAGAAGAGCACCTCTGAAATTATGGGAGCTCGCTGAAAGGCTAGAATAGGCAGGAGAGGGCAGAAACTCTAGGACGGGGTAGAGTCGAGAAACTAATGCGGGTTGTTAGAAAGAACGCACGTGTTCACAGCGCCGGCCGAGCCAGGGGCTAGGGAACAGCAGGGTACCACCTCGAGCAGACGGAAGGGCACCGCCCACTCCGGGGCCCCCCTCACCTCGCCCCGCAGCAGCCAGTCGCGGTGGTAGCAGAGGCGACCTTTGTCGGAACTGCGCAGCGCCTGCAGGGTCTCCCAGCAGCGACCCTCGGACGGCATGGCCGGCCCTGAGGGAGCTCTTCAGAGGCTCCGCTTGTGACAAAACAAGTCCTCGAATCAGCCGCCCGGAAACGGGCCCTCGATTCCGCTTCCGGGGCGCGCACGCAGCCACGCAGGGCAACCCCCGCCCCTAACGGCTGCATGGCCCCGCCTCCGGCGCCGGGCCTGGTAGCCAGCGCGCTTGCGCCGGCAGGGGTTGGTCCCTGAGGCTCGCTTGCTTGTACCTGGGAACCGGGGCTTCTGAAGGCTGGAGACTGCGGATTGCAGAAAGCCCAGTATGTGTTGATGAGGATGTGGAGAAACTGGACCATTGCTGATGGGCTCTAAAATGGGGCAGCGCGGCAGTTGCTCAAAAGGGTAGCCTTACCACTGACCCAGCAATCCTACCTCTTTTTTTTTTTTTTTTTTTTTTAACGTTTATTTATTCTTGAGACAGAGAGAGACAGAGCATGAACCGGGGAGGGTCAGAGAGAGAGGGAGACACAGAATCTGAAACAGGCTCCAGGCTGTCAGCGCAGAGCCCGACGCGGGGCTCGAACTCACGGACCGCGAGATCGTGACCTGAGCCGAAGTCGGCAGCTTAACCGACTGAGCCACCCAGGCCCCCCCCCCCGCCAGCAATCCTACTTCTAAGAATGTATATACCAAGAGAAATTGAAATGTGCATCCACACAGAAATTCGTAGAATGTTCCTAGCAGCATTACTGGTAATAGCTAAAAGTTAGAAACACAAATGTCCACCAACTGGTGAGTAAATCAAATAGGGTGTATTCATACAATGGAGTATTATTTGGCCATAAAAAAGAATACAAAAGCGTGCTACTACATGGATAAATCTTGAAAAACATTATTCTAAGTGAAAGGACTGGCCACAGTATTGTTGGATTTCATTTTTGTTAACATAACCTTGGAGACTTTGTTGCTCCCAGGGGCTGTGCGGAGGCGGGAGGGGGGGTGGCTACTAACGCCTATGGGCTTCATTTTGTGTTGATGAAAATGGTCTAGAACTGGATAAAGTTTATGGCTGCACAGCTTTGTGAATATACTGAAAACGACTGAATTACACACCTTAAAAGGATGAATTTTCGGATCTGTTTGAGGTAGAAAATAACATAAACATTTAAATTTTTTATTATCTTTTTTTTTTTTTTTTACAAACTCTCTGTACTGTTTGCAATAAATTACTTTACATGGGGCGCCTGTGTAACTCAGTTGGTTGAGTACCTGGCTCTTGATTTTGGCTCAGGTCATGATCCCAGGGTTGTGGGACTGAGCCTTGGGTTTGGCTCCATGGTGTGGAGCCTGCTTGGGATTCTCTCTATCCCTCTGCCCCTCTTAAAAAACAAAAAACAAAACAAAAAAAGCTTTACAAAGGAAAATACAACATTGTTGAGAATCTAGCGATAGACTCCAACAGAGGTGTTTCCCACTAGTGTGGTAAATAGCAGTGCCCTGCATGAGGTTTTCATTGGTTTGGCAAAAATACAAATGAGTTATACAGACATGTACCACATTGGTGTAAGTTTGCCAACTTCCCTTTCCTGGGGAAGGTCTTTTTTTTTTTTTTTTTTTTTTTTTTTTTTTTTTTTCTTGGAGAGAGCAAGCAGGGGAGGGGCAAAGTGAGGGGACAGAGGATCTGAACCAGGCTCTGCCCTGACAGGCTGACAGCAGCCAGCTCGATGTGGGGCTTGAACCCACAAATCTCAAGATCATGACCTGAGCCCAAATCAGACGTTCAACTGACTGAGCCACCCAGGTGCACCTTGGGAAGCTCTTTCATATGCTGTAAATTCAAGTCCGTTGATCATGAAGGCTGTGAAAACAGGCTTGGTTTTTGTGGCAGTGGTAGCTGATGCTTGTTTTTGCAGTGATCTCCCTTGGCAAAATGAAAAGCTGGAAACTACAAATGTCCCCAGAATTTAAGGGGGAAGGAGGTTTCCGGAAGCTGGATGCCTATGTGGGGCCCGTTGCCTTTGTGGACATAGGGGAAGTCTCTGGAGTTTTGTCCTTGAGTTAGAGTAGACAGAACAAGACTGCCATTGCCCGGATGGCAAATACCAGCTAAAACAGAAAGGTTGGGATTCAGCACAGCACCCCATTTGTTCACCTCTCTAAAGAATATGTTGTTCTTTCTTTTAAATATAGGGAAATGGGAAGAGCACAGGAATAGCCCATCATCTTATCATTCAGAAACCAACTAACAGGGGCGCCTGTCTGGCTCAGTAGTTAAGCATGCAGCTCTTGATCTTGGGGTTGTAAGTTCGAGCCCCACGTTGGGTGTAGAGATTACTTAAAAATAAAACCTTAAAATAAGTAAATAAGATCTTTAAAAAAAGAAGCCCAACTATCATTTTCAAAATAGTAATATATACACATCTTATCTCCCTCCATCCTATCCACTCCTAAAGTGCCCCTCCACCCCTACCCCGCAGACACTGAGCCAAGCCTTACAAAGTGTGTTTCCTCCAGTCATGTCACAGGATTATGTGAAGAAGGTGCACAGGGAAGAAAGAACCGACCTGGGCCAAAGTGAAATGAGAAGCCTCGTGTCCCATGTACCAAGTACTTGTTTACTGGCTCTCCTGCACCATTGTCTGTAATCATTTTTAGAAAAGGGATGGGGTGGGTAAAAGAAATCATCCAGTGGAGTCTTACATATTGACTAGAAAAGTTTTTTGTAAAACACAACACACATTATTTCCAGAATAAAGGCATTCCATAGATACAAATCTAGCAAACAGAAACACAAACCAATGGGATTGGGATTATACTTTTAAAAGGCCACTGGACACAAGCCCTGCAGTGTCTATTGTGAAGTGCTCAGGGGCAAGTGGCCTTGAGGAAACTTGGGTGTGAGATTTCCACCAGGCGTGGGAGGAGGGCCTTGGGGAAAAACACTGTACCCAAACAGCAGGTGAATGTGCTCACAGCCCAGGAGGGGTGGTGAGGACCTCTGGCTAACAGCTCCTGCTGGTGCTGGTCAGAGAAAGCCCAAGAGAGAGATTCCTCAGAAGAGGAGGGCTATAAGGGGACTGGAAGAAAAAGTCCAGTCCGGACATTTGCTCAGGAAAGGAAGGAGCAAAGTCATGGTGAGTTAAAATCTGGTACCCGAAGATCAGTAGATTTAAGGCCTGTCAAGGTAATTAAAAATTTCCATCAGGTGACTCTATCAGAGAGGAGAAAACGGAGTGGTTCCTGTTTCACTCCCCCTAGTGTTTTAGGGACTTTTCTGGAGTCGGTAGCTAAGACAAGATCCTGAACACACTTCATCAGTGGAAGAGAGAGGAAAGCGGCAGGCTTTCCAGCTGTGGCTTGGCCACTCTTCAGTTCCCAGGACATCAGTTCGGGCTCCTGGCCCAAGACTGGCGGGCTTAGGTGGGAGGAGATCGGGAGCGGATGGGAGAGCTGGTGAGGAAGGTAGTGTAGGGACTGTCCCCAAACACGTTGGCATAAGATGACTTGAGGAACTGGACGTAGTTCTGCATGCTGCGATTGGTGCTCTCCGACTGCTCCAGGCGATCTTTGAGGTCTTGCAGCCGGCTCTGGTAGCGACGGTCAGCCTATGAGGAGCAACAAAAAAGGAGTCAAGTGTGTGAAATGTCCAGGGCGGATCCCTAGAGACTCGGTCAGGGGTTGCCAGGAGCCGAGCGCAGGAGAATGGGCGTGACTGCTAATGGGCACAGGGTTTCTTTCCGAGAAGAGTCTAAACTTAGACTGTGGTGGCAATGGCGCACCTCCGTGAACACACTAAAAAAACACGGAATTGTACCATTGAAAGGAGTGAATTTTATGGTATGTAAATGATATCTTAACAAAGCTGTTGATTTAAAAAAAAAAAAAAAAAAAAGGAATCTGCCTGGGATATCCCTAAGGGATTGGAAAGTGAGTTGAGAAAAATCAAACCATGTCATATTCCTAAAAACCTCCATGAAACACCTTGCCCTGCAGGCCCCAGGAAGCTAAAATCTCAATCCACTCCCTTCTCTCCGGCCCCCGCCCTCCAGCCTGACTCACGTCGTCTCGGCTCCGCCGCAGCTGGCTGAGCTCCGTCTTGGTCCTGCTCAGCTGGGTCTCAAGGTCCAGGATTTTGTTCTGGGCAGCTCGCTCCTTGGAGACTGCATGCTCCTTGGTCTGTTCCACCTGCCCAGAAGGCACGGAGGTGGGGCTGGCTTACCTGACACGGGGAGCACCTGGCACCCGGAAGGCTGAGCCACTCCCACTCTGGTCTCGCACATCACTATGGATGGTTCTCTGGTGCCTTGTGGCAGGAGCTAACTCCAGGGACTTCTGCAGCCCACTTCACCTGCCCTTTCCCCACACCCCAAGAATCATCACCTAAGCTGTGGAAAACCTGGCTGAGTCCCACGCAGGCAGCAAGTGAATGAGCCATCGTGATCAAGTGCCAAAGCCTTTACAGTAATTGCTCATTTGATCCTTGGGACAAATTCGCGAGGCAGGTGCCACTACTGCACCCCCTTTTTTAGATGGAGCAATAGGCTCTGAGAGGTCAGGTGACTTGGCCCAAGGTCACAGAGCTAGTTAGCAATGGATTCAAGACTGACCTGCCTCCTAGCATCTTCGATGGCGCTCTCCAACTGCCTGGCCAGGCTCCCACATTCCCGTGTTTTCTCCTCTAGCCGCAGCTGGGACTGGTGGATCGCTTCCTCCCTCTTGGCAATCACCTGTAGGAACTCGATATTCTGGGCGCTGGTTGCCTCCAGTTTCCTAGATGGAAGCACTTAATCAGATCTGGCTCGTACCCCGACCTGTCCTGTTCCACCCCGCCAGGAGGCTGCCAGCCACCCCTGGGCTGGGGGTCTCATCATGCCAAGAGTCTCCAAGGAACCACAGGAATAAACCAAAGAAACCTGCTGATCAGCAAGGCAGCAAGCAGGGAGCCGAGAAGCCAGGGCAGCTCAGGACTGTGTGGAGAGTGGGCGGGCAAGCACAGACGAGCATGCCTGTTGTTAGTAACACAGCACCTTGCAGCTAAGGAAGGTGGGCGCCACCATTATCCCCACTTTACAGAGGAAGAAACTGAAGCACTGAGGTCATTGGCCCAAGGTCAGCACAGCTGGCAGGTCTGTCACCAAAACCCATGCCCTCAACTTGTGCTCACTGCTGCCCCCTCAGCAGAAGGACATCAGCTGGTACCCCCTCTACTGCTTATGTGATCCACCGTGGGGTCGCAGTGACTCCTGATGGGCACACGTGGTCCCCACTGCAATTCCAGAACACCTTCCAATTGAAAGTTCTGTAAGTCCTGCTGAGTCCAGCTGCATGTTGGAAGCCAGAGGACCAGAGCGGAGCCTAGGAGCCCAGCCCAAGTCCCCACATGCAGGCTGCACGAGCCACCTGGGCAGCCAGAGCATCCCAGGGCCAAAGGCCTTGCATCTCTAACTAAGGCTCCAGCCCTCATTTTACAGATGCTAAGAGCTCCAGAGGAGGACAGTCAGGGGGCCTATGTCGCAGCTTTGCCAGATACCAGCTGTGTCACCCTAGGCAAGTCACTTAGCCTCTCTCCATGCTCGGTTTCCTCATATTCAACATTGGGATAATAGCAACTAATACACACTAACTATATGGTGCATTTTTCTGTGCCAGATAATGCGCTAAGGCCTTTGAGGATTATCTCCTGGAAGACTTTCGATAACCTCATGAGCTAGATTGTTACCCCTACCTTGATCCCTTTCTCAAGGTGAGTAAACAGAGGTTCAAAAGGGTTCAGTGATTTGCTCAAGATCACAATGCAGGTTAAGTGGCCAAGCTGGGACCCAAGGCCAGGACTTCTGACTCCAAAAGCTGTACTCTTCACCTGACTGCCTCTAATAGTCCATAGGTAAAAGAGAAAAATCAGATCAGAAAGGTCTTGGGGATGGGGCGCCTGGGTGGCTCAGTTGGTTGAGTGACCAACTTGAGTTCAGCTCAGGTCTTGATCTCAGCTTGTGGGTCCGAGCCCCGCATCGGGCTCTGTGCTTACAACTTGGAGCCTGGAGCCTGCTTGGGATTCTGTGTCTCCCTCTCTCTCTGCCCCTCCCTGACACATGCTGTTTTTTTTTCTCTCTCTCTCAAAAATAAACATTAAAAAAAAAAACAGAAAAAAAGAAAGATCTTAGGGAAGGATGATCAGAAATGAAGAGCAGAATGAGGTGGGGGGTGGGGGTGGGGGCACGGGAATGCCCCCTCACCGCCTTATATTGGTCCTGCTGGTTTGCTCGGGTGAAGTGTGCCTTTTTGGTAGGTAGAGCCTATGGGTGGTCTGAACTTGACCACACTGTTCCGGAGCATCCCCCAGTCAAAAGACCATCTTCCTCTCTCCCACAATGCTTACCACTGCAATGGAAGCAGCTTTTCCTCTGGGGTCTGCCCAGTACCTTCTAGGGCCTTGAGTCCCTCAAACACTTCTGCACACTAAGCCCAAAGCAGCTAAGTGGCTGAAAGTCTCAGGTCCTAGGAAGAGGACAGAGATGGGACCAAGTGCCTCTAACCTCTCCAGTTCATCCACCTTCAGACTCAGCTGTTTATTTTCCTTCTGGGAAGCCTGATGTTTCTCTCTTGCCATCTCCAGCTTGTCCCCCTGATGTTCGATCTAAAATGACAGGAACACAGACTGGTTTATGAAGGAACTTCCCTGTGCAGCCCTCCCTTCCCCCTAGGACCTGTCATCCACACCCAGGAGGGAGACACACTGCCCTCAGCAGGCATCCAAGTCTCAACGCACAACCTGGACGAGAGAGGAGAGTGGGGACAGGTTAGGCCCGACTCCCGTGAAGGCCTTCCCGCACGTAGAGAAGCCAGGTTTGATCCCGAAGAACCACGGCGACGCTTTCTTGATCAGGAGAGGCCACTCAATGGGATCCGGGGCAGACATGAGAAGGCAGAAGCAGATGCTGGGCTAAACTGGCCCACACGACATGCCACAGAGCGTTACCAACTACACTGTCGGCACCGCTGATTTCATTCTCCCTTTAAATGGGGACAAGTACAGGCAACAGGAAACCTATCAAGTCTTTCAGGCTGGCAAGTTTGAGAAGTTATCCAGAGGGCCGCTGTACACAGAAGCTTCAGATATCAGGCTCTCGAGGCCCTGAGAATACTCAGGTTCAAGGGCAGGCAGGCAATTTAAGAGGACTGCGAATGTGGGCTTGGGAAGCAGGTGTAACTGGCTGAGTTCCAAACCCTGGTCACCAACTCTCAGCTCTGGGACCTCAGGAAATTAGGCCTCTATGCCTTGGGCTGCTTTCTGGAAAACGGAGAAAAAGAATATCTACACCTCACAACATTCCTGGGAGAATTACGGGGGAGAATACTGGCGCACAAAGTCCGTGCTCGAAAAACGATAGCTACTTTTGTTATTACAAGGAAGGAGGTCAAAACAGGGGGAGGGCCTCGCCCAAGATCCCACTGCAAACGAGAGGCATGTAATTTCTTAGACTGTATGTAGGCAGGATTCCAGTAACCCAGAGGCAGACTGCTTCTGGGAGGAAGGGAGCCCTCTTTCTGGACAGAACCTCAGGCAATGGACCTGGTAAGAGTCGGGAAAGGCAGCTGGAGCAAGAGAAAGTTGGGAGAGAGAACATTCCCCCCTCCCCCCAGGCTGGGTGTCTCCCCCTGGGGGTGTGGCCGAGCACTGCAGCAGAGCATGAAGGGCAGAGGGACTTGAAGCACAGGCTGGGGGGCGGGGCAGCACCGGAGAGTGACGGCTCCTATAACTACAATCACTTTGTGCAAACACAAGGCATTTGGCACACCAGACTTTTATTTCACAGCACTGATGATCGCTCACTCCTTTCAGAAAGCAGCAGCCAAGAAAAAGGAAGTGGTCCTCCCTTGGGGGGGGCGTGCAGCTCATCTTGGTAAGCGGGCCCCTGCTCTGGCCAGTTCGTGGGACCCTTTCTGCCAGTCCCTTACCCGGCTGCGCAGGTCTGATATGATGGCTGTGAGGTCGATGTTCTTCCTCTCGTAGCCCTGCAGCTGGTCCTGGCACTCTGCCAGCTTAGCCTCTGTGATCTTGAGGATGTCAGGCAGCTGCTGCAGGTCAGCCAGCTGGGACTGGAACTGCCTACGGGCCTGCAGTGGGGAGAAAAACCCACCGTTGGGAAGGGCCCCCGCTGCTTGTGGGACCAAGCAGAGTCCTTTGGAATTAGGGCAGGGCTGCCGGCGGTCCCCAGAAGAGGATCCTGTGGGACAGCAGGAATGTGGCCTGCCCTCCCCACAGGCCGCTGGCAGCGGCAGGCTCTTCTCCAAGGGACACAATGGGCCCTAACTTACCACCTGAGCCTGCCACTCCTTTCGTCATTGAATAACAAAGGCAATCACGTAGCAAATACCAGGACCTTGTTACTGTGCTGAGAGCTCTCTGAACTACTCAATGAATTCATACAACAACCTATCAGCTTGGTGCTGTTGTCCCAGTGGAAGGACTCTAAGGATCAAGGGAGGAAAGTCATTTCCCTAAGGCTGCTCAGCTAGAAACTGATAGAGACAGGGGCGCCTGGGTGGCTTAGTTAGTTAAGTGTCTTGATTTCCGCTCAGGTCATGATCTCACAGTTTGTGAGTTTGAGCCGCACATCGGGCTGCATGCTGACAGTGTGCACTGACAGTACAGAGCTTGCTTGGGATTCTCT